GTGTGTTTTCTGCACCCTTCTTGAATTAAGGAATTTCACTTCAGAATAATTTGGTTATTAATCAATTTACTTAATCATCGATCAACAAAGATTTTAGGACAATCTCATGAGAACCGGTGTGTAACTACCTGGAATGTGAGTAATTGAATACTTGTACAACGTTATGGAACAATTTCATCTCATTAATGGTAGCATCTGAGATAAAATTGTTTTAGAAAAGAAATGGCTTCATAATAAAAATTCTACTCAACCATGCTTGTTGTACCCACCACTTTGTACCCACCTTATACCCACCTCTGTGAAGGCTGTTTTTTTTTGTCTGTGAAGCCGGTTCACAGACAAAATATGTCTTTGAATTCCTTCACAGACATATTTTGTCTGTGAAGGAATTCACAGACAAAAAAAATAACTTCACAAACATGGGTGGGTACAAAAGTGGGTATAAAAGTGGGTACAAACATCATTTTCCAAATTAAAAATAGATGTGTGATACTAAAATGAGCAAAGAAAATAGAAATGAAGACAATGAGGATACAGATATGCAAATTAACATAGGGGGAGTTATGTTAAGCTAAAAGGTTCTGATACCTTTGTATAACTAACTTAATGAAACTTCATAAAAAATAAACAAATACACGTAAGCTGCTTACTTTGCGGTTCAGACCCCTTCATTAGAGTAAATAACTAGATATGCTAGAGATTAAAAGAGTATGTCACAATGCATCTCAATAAATCAAATTCTAGAATTTTCTCTTTCGTATTGAGTACATATAAGGAAGACTTTTAAATTCCAAGTGATAGAATATCATAAAAATGTATAAAATTAAAGGGTTTGTCAATGAAAAGTGATTGTATTCAATGTACACATCACATATTATTGGGCATTATCCTACACGCGCAACGCGCGTTGTAAAACTAGTATATGTATGTATGTATGAATATCTTACCGGTCAAACTAGCCTGATAGGAACACTACTCTCCTTCCGGTCACCGCCGTTTGGGGCGATTCCCGGTAGATACTTTCGATGAAATTTTTTGAACATGTTCCTCATCAAGTCTAATTCATCCACACAAAAAAACAGCTAAAAATTCAACCAAGAAGACAATCAAATATTTTTTTTGAAGATAACTGCGTCAAAATATACATATAAAACACATTTATCACTTCATCAATAGAAGTGATAAATATCAAGACACTTCCCTGAGTGTATAATGCTAGTGTCAATACTGGAACAATTGGGGATACCAAAAAGAGAAGTATATAAAAAATCAACAAATTCACATGCATGCTAAGCTACTTGATCCATAGAAGTAGTAGATTGTCCATTTTCAAGCTTAAGAGCCGAGATGGAGTTACTTGGTGAATCTATCACTCAAAATCAAGTGGTTTGCCTTATTATTAGCCTTTTTTTCAAAATTAAAGGAAGCTTCCTCGGCCTTCTTAAGAAAAATTACTCTCTTCTTAATCAATGAAAGGTCATTTTTAAAGTGTCATCAAGAGGAGAGAGTAAAGAAAGTTCGATTAATCTTTTATACTCTCTCTTAGATTCCTTCACTTTTTTAGAAATATGCCCAAATTCAGTATGATTAAGTTCCTTGAGTGGTTTCTTAAGAAGCTTAAACTTACGGACCATTCTAAACTGAGCATTCCCAAGTATGTTTTGATTCCAACGGCTAATAAGTACAGTCTTGAAAGAATCATGTTTAATCCAAGTGTTAAAGAACTTAAAAGATTTTGTACCATTTGAGAAAGGTTGTCCAATAGTACGTAACAACAGATGCAACATGATCAAAATCAACCTCCAAATCACATAAATGAGTGCTACAACTAATATTTTGGGAACTCCAAACAGAATTCATCAAGACCCTATCAAGTTTGGCTCACGGTGAGCCCCTATTCCAAGTAAAGAACACCCCAGAAGAAGGGGTATCCACAAGATTAGTTTGGATCTTCAAATCATTCAAATGTTGCATAAAGGTAACCCGAGGGGGTGGGACCCACCCTCTCACTAGGGCTGCACACACAGTTGAAATCTCCCATTATTAGTCGGGGACTAGTAATGTTAGATTCTAAACTAGCAATGTGTTCCCAAAACTCTCTCCTTTCCGCAACAGTGTAAAGAGCATACACAAAAGTAATAAAGTACTACATATTATTTTTGTGAGATCCTACACACCATCTTACAATACATGTGTTTGTTTCTCAATCTCCAAAATGACCATGTCAATAAAGTTAGGGTCCCAAAGTAGGGCAATACGTCCACCCTTAATCTTGTCAAAATTAGACGAGTGTAGCCAATTAGGCATAAGGTTTGTCATGAATCTATCAAAGTTGAGGGTGGATAACCAGGCCTGTGCCTTATGTTAGGCTGGAGAGGCCCAAGTCTCAGGGCCCCAAAAAATTGAAAAAATTAGGGGCCCATAATTTTTTAAACATTACTATTATTATACCTATGTATTTTCCAACTTCCAAGGCCGTCACCATTTGAGGCGGTTCTTGGTGAAATTTTTTGATGAATTTTTTTGAGCATATTCTTCATTAAATCTAATTTATCCATACCAAATTTCAACAAAAAATTCAATCGGGAAGGCAGTCAAATGAATTTTTGAAGATAACTGCGCAGTTAAACATCACAGTATATTTCAGAAAATCATTTGACTGCCTTATTTGTTGAATATTTAGCTGAAATTTGGTATGGATAAACTAGACTTAATGAAGAAGATGCTCAAAAAAATTTATCAAAAAATTCCACTGGGAACCACCCCAAATGGTGTCGGTCGGACATAACCTCTTATATAAGGGGTGATTTGCACTTTTTAAGTTAGTTCGAGGGCTGATTTGTAGAGCAAGTTTATAGTATATATTGATGAGGATTCCACTAAATTATGTATCTAAAACTATTTGACGGGTTTTACTCAAGTAATTTTTTAATACATTCAATGTCGTTTTGTGATAATGGAAGACTTCTATTGAAAGATTGAGTTTTTGTGATATTTAATCATTCATTTTAGTGAATTTATATGATAAACAAACACTATATATGAGGCCCATTTTATAAAGCTCGACTCAGGCCCGAGTTTAGGTAGGACCGGCACTGTGGATAACTTGATAAAAGACACTTTAATCCTATTAGTACCAGGGGCGGATCCAAAATTTTCAGATGACCTGGGCTGAATAGGAATTATACTAGGATTAAATATAGGAGGGATGGGTTAAATGTGAAAAATGAACTTAACCATTTTGGAAATCATTTAGTAAACTTACTAGTTATGGCATTTATTTTGGGGTTGAATTTGAAGTTGTTACAACTCTGCTTGTCCCCCACTCGGAATCAACCGTTTATTACAATATACATGGGCCATAAGGTTTCTCCTCAACTCAAGGCATGGAACGAGTGTTTGAGGGACAAACGTATTCAGAGCATTGGCAATGTTAATGGAAACTCTAATGCAAACATATTGTTTATTGCCCCCCGAGTGTCCTTTCATCAATCTGAATCAGCTTTTTTAAATAACTGCCAATGTCCATCGCCACTTTCTCTGCCATGAAATTTTGAGGCAAATTATGAATCTTAATCTAGAACTCAGCATGGTTCAAACCCATATCTAGAGGTCTGTCAACCACTTCAATTTGTTTGACGGCTATTAAGTTTTGTTCAAAGGACCGCGGTCATCCTGAATTACTCGAGAAATGTCACTCTCGTGGTACAATGAATCAGAAAGTGTGTATCTCCAATTTGTTCTATGGTTACTCTTCTTCTTGGACGCCAGACCATTGCAATTGTCTCACGGAAAGCAATAAAATGGACAAACTTGTCTATAACAACCATAGCTATGGCAGGAAAACATTGGGCTCTACCTACCCCACCAGGCCACCACCAACATCTAAGGCACCAGAATCAAACACCAACCCACTATCCTCCTCTTCCTTATTAGCCATTCTCCCATATGCATGAGTTGTGTTCTCCATCAGTTGATCCACACACAAAAAAGAGCAAGACAACAATTAACCGAGAGGCACAAAGAAATTAGCAACCATTCACAAGGAATGTATGAACCCTCGGCCAAAGCAGCACTTCAACCGGACGAAAACGGAGAAATCAAGCATGGAAAAAACGGAATATTTTGAGAAAATGCATCTATTTGTCTCAGCCCAAATATCGACGAAGCTCTCTGTCTTCCGAAGCCATAAATTGCAGGTGAACTCCTTCAAGGTTGACAACCGTGAGAAGATGGAGTTGATGCGCCGCGGCCACTGCTAGAGTTCATCTAGGGATGGACTGGGACGGGTCGCCCGACCCGAGCCCGGGCCTGGTACTGTTTTGGCCCGACCTGGCTCACTAGTGTATAGGCTCGGTCCCCACCTGGGGCCCGACTCGGTGGCTATAAGGACGGGCTTTGAGCTCGTTTTTTGGGCCCGACTAGGCCGAGTCTGATTGCACTATTTTTAATTTATTGCTTAGTCCCGTCCCGAAGCTTGGCCCCACTTGGTACTGTTTAGGCCCGAGCCAGTACCAGGCCCGAAATCCCTAAGCCCGAGCCCGGCTAGTCCCGACCCGATCGCAATCCACCCCTAGGTTCATCGCCATAGTTGTCCTAGGTATTTCTAAATAGGGTTGGATCGGGCCTGGGACGGGATACGGGCAGGTACGGTACCGTCCCGAGCCCGAACCGGGCCGGTTCTATTTGATTGTTTTTTTAGTTTATCGTATTTATCCCAACCCCCACCCCTAAACCCCGCCAGAACACCCACCCAGCCCAAACCCAAAAACCCAAAAAAAAAAGCCCGGACCGGCCGGGCCGGTCCCCATGTATGCAGTCCCGGACCCGCCCCCAAACCCCCCTGGGTCGGGCCTAGGCCCGGTACCGGAACCGGTTTACCAGGCCGTGTCGGTCCCGCACAATGGGGGCCGGGCCGGTTCCCGGGCCGGTCGGACCAGACCCAGGCCAAGCCTAGCCAGGAGGCAATTGAATGGCATATTTATTTTTACGTCACTGGCCCCAAATGTAGATGTGTACTATGTAGAGGAAGTATGAAAATATTGTATTAACGTGGTTAAATACGGGCAGTAAGCCAGTCAGATTACAGGACTGGCAAATATGGATCACAATGATTCTATGCTATTAGTAGTACAACTATAGAAACCTTTTCCAACAACAAAGGGATTAATATGCACTATGCAGTAAAGGCAAACGGATTCTTTCAAGGCAAAATCATGGGTGGTTTCCATTTGTTGAATTCAACTAAATCCCTGTTCACTATTGTTCTATTATGAAGCCAGAATGTTTCCGTGGACTGATGGAATTGTCTCACCTTCTTCTGCAGTTCCCAGAGGATTGCACCAAATGCAGAACATGCTTCGAGGGTGGGAGAATAGACCCATAAGCACCTCACTTTTCTACCCCTGGATATCATCTCTTCGACGTCTCTATCTGCCAAAAGAACAAAGTCAAACTGACACTCACCAGGAACGTTAATGTGGTGTGTGTGGATCAATTCCAAAACTAACCAGGTATTGATTCTAGGTACTCTAAAAGTTCAGGGCCAATCCGCGTGGATGGCCATTTGATTGATATCTGAGTGTAGTCTATAACATTCTGAAATGGCATTTCTATTTGATCTGATATAATGACTGGAACACACTCCTGTGTGGCATTACAAAAAGTGCCATCAAATGATCAAGTAAAAGCAGAATCCATATTTGTGCAGAAAAGATGATTCCACCAGTGGTGGAGGTGAAAAATATGATTACCACAAAAAAAGACTCATAAAAGCGGAGAGTCCATGATGATTCACCACGTGGAGCAAGGCAAAACTTGGCATTACGAAGATGCTGAAAATATTGCACTCTCCCCAGCTTATCTGGACCACTGAATTTCAACTCTGGAGATTCCAACTGCAGATAAGATTTTCTTAAAATTTGCTTTTTTTTTGGGGGGGGGGGGGGGTGAGGGACATTATCATAAAATTTACTCTCAACATTCATTCCTTTCATTTGTTAGTAGATATGCAATTCATTTTTTCAATAACCGCATAGCTTTCGTATAGGGGCTCTCTAATAGGAGAGGTTAATCTAGACACACCTTTTCTGGGAATTGTTTTGCAAGTTTGATCAGTTGAAGCCGACCACTCTTTCCTTGCGCTCGGCCTAGAAAGTTTGCCAAGTACTTCCTTTTTGACAAAGGCAAAGGCTCAACTAACCGAGAGCTGTGTGAACTAGTCATCCCATCATCAACATTTCCAGGGATGATAATGTCTTTCCATGTATTAAAAGCACTAGTGTCTCGTTTATCTGTTCTGTCACCCTGCACCATATGGGTTTTTTTTTCATATTATGAAAACTTGGCAATAGTGCTAGAAAATTTAGGAAAAATTGATTGTAATAATCCCAACTATTGGCGGTCCGCTTATAATAATCCCAACTATCAATTATTTTAGAATAATCCCAACTTTAGGGTCCTTCTGCCAATAACAGTCCCTGTAAATAAATTCATGTACTTTCTGAAGTGGATGAGAAGAGATATAGCAAGTAATCTCTATAAATAATCTTAACTTTTAATTTTTACGCTTAATTTCTATTTAAAATTCACTTTTATAGAAGGTAATATTTGGTCATGGACTATTATTGGCGGATGGTGCATATAGTTGGGATTATACAAAAATAATCAATAGTTGGGATTATTGTTAGCGGACCGGCAATAGTTGGGATTATTATTTTCAATTTTTCCGAAAATTTAAATGCATGTCAACCAGCACAGATCAAGAGTTTTTGGCATATAGATTTTTTTTATAAAAAAAAACAGGATTTCCTTTTTGGTCCTTGCCTATAAAGTCTTCTTTCCTTAATTGGTAAAATAAATTTTTAAGTTACTACTCGTTTTGCATATTCACATCTACCACAATTAATTACTCCAATCACATATTACAAGGTCAATATTGGAAGTCTAAAAGAAAGTATCGATTCATTAAAACCCAAGCAATTTTACTGAGGAACTTATTAAGGGATGGAGGTAGTAAACTAGTAATCCGCAACTAAAGTCCCTTAGATTCAGAAGGTATACGAATACTATCTACGTGCCAACAATCAAAGGAAACCAAATTCAGCAAAAACAATAATCAGAACAAAATAAAAGACATAAGCATTGCTTAAGCTCCAATCATTTTGATCATAATTTTCAACAAGGGGGTCTCAGAGAGGGTGTAATCTTATCCACAACTTCTTGTATTTTGCATGGGAAGGATTTGAACCTTGTGTTAAGCAATATTACACCACCACCATCATCATCCGAGCCTTATTCCCAAAAGAGATAAAGCAATCTTTCACCAACTCAATTAAAAATACTTGTATAAGAACATTGAAATACTTTATGATATTGATCTTTTAAGATGGAACTCCAAGTCTTAATCGAGTTCAAACGAGCAATTGATCTTACTAAGATTACAACAAAACACGCGGGTTTCAAGATTGTTCTATTCCAAAAAATCATTATCGTGCAGGAAAATTTTCAATCAATTCACGCTGACCTAATATAAATAATAACTCACATATAAGACCTTAGATAACACTTCATATCATGTTGACCTTCTTAGACATGACCTCTTGTCTAATAGCCTGAACATCACGACACAAGGTGAGAGACTCATTTAATAAAAGATATTACCTCAGGAGTAAGAATGATAGAGCGATTCAAATATGTTGCCCACGACTTGAACAAATGAGCTCCAGCTCCGCTGTGATTGAGAAAGAGCACAAATGCATTAGTATCTCATGGAGCTAATCATGTTGATATTCAGGGTCCAGACCAATTAAATAGAACCAAATTTAAGAAATGTGGGGCACTTTAGAGGTTATGATAGGTCACTTGTTTTTTTTTCTAGTTACCGATATTGGGTCTTTGGCAGGGCATGTGGCACCCACAATCATCATGTATATAAGAGCTTATATTGTAAAAAACAATCAGATGCCAAAGTAACTAAAAGGGCATTACCTTGGGAAGACAAATATGTGATTGCGGCCTCCAGATAACCTGAAATATGGCATTTGACTTAAAACCTGTAAGAAAGAAAGTGAGAATTTAAAAACGAAAAAAAAATCCTTTAAAAAAAACATTTCATAACCAACTGAAATAACAATGCCACGAAATGTGCAGGGTGAACAGAACTCCATTGCAGCAGAACTAAAGCGTAAGATACACCAAACCAAAGATTGCCTGGTCAATCAAATATAGCCAGTTTCAAGATTCTGAGGAATTGCTACCTTGACGTAGGTTTGATTTATTTCTTTATCATTGAGACCACCCATCATCCGTACACATTTAACATAACTTGGCACAAAAAACAAATCTGCCTCCTCTTTCCTCCTAGTCCGCAATCTTGATTGGGAGAGAAGCCTGTGAATTTTGACCTGCTCAGCATTATAAAAGTAAACAAAAGATCAGAAAAAGATGTGGAAGAAACACATCTACAGTTTCAAATATCAAAATCTATTTTGAGCATTCTAATAGAGGTGATTTGACCTCAAAATGGGAGAACAGCCGGAAAATCATTTTGGTTGGGTAATGATACCAATCACTGTCTAACAGGGACATAAATACACTCTTCAATTTGTAACAATATGAATTGGAAGCTCCAAGATACAAGTTTTCAGAACAAGCAGGTAAGAAATGACCTGAGAGCCCCATTGTCCTTTGAGGCATGATTCAGGGGATATATTCCCTTCCCGGCCGGACAACAGCAGATCGAGACCATCAATCTCGCCCGCCTCGTAAACGTAGATTTTCAGGGAAAGGTGGGGCCCGTACCCGCGTTGGGGCCACAAGACAGACCCTCCGTCAGAGAACCGTACGGCGTCGTTTGCGGATCCGAGCTCGCCAATGGCGTAGTTGGTGGGCGGGAAGGAACAAGGGTCAATGAACTGGTGAAATAGACGAGTGAGGAAGTAGGTGGTGATGACTAGGGCTAGTGCGCCGATCTGATGGGTGCGGGTGCATGGCGTTGCGGAGGAGTGGTGATGGGACGCCGAGCCAAAGAGCCTGATACTCTTGCCGCTCATTGTTGTCGGAGAGAATTCAGTGCGACGGTGGAAGGAAGGGGAAGTCGCCAACCAATGTGAAGGTCCATCAGAACTTCATATGGATAACCACAGGGAAACAACTTGCGCTGGTTCGTTTCCCTGGCGCCTAGAAGCAGCAGCAGCGCAGGTCGAAGGCATTAGAATGTTTTTTGTACTGATCTGTCTGGTTTGAAGTGGTTTGGTCTGGTATGGTAAACGTCTGATTTTCGCGTTTTTTATTACTACGGAAGTTTGGTCTGATCTGGTCTGTTCTGATTTGGTCTAGCACTGAAAACAGTCCAAGAGAAATCATCCTTAGTGGGGAAACTGGAAAAGAGAGAATGTAAAAGTAGTACATTTGTTAATTACTCCCTCCGTCCCCTTTTAAATGTCCCGTTTTACCATATTGGGATGTCCCTATTTAATTGCCTCATACCTTATTTGATAAACTTTGTGTGGCTCAAAATTATTCTTACTTTACTCTTACTTTATCAATTAATATCAACCACACAAACTCACTTTTCTTAAAACTCGTGCCACTATCTCCCGTCCCATTTAAAAGGGGACGGAGGGAGTAGTGTTTAACTTGTACTTTAACATGTGATTTTCAACATAATATTATAGTTTTTTTCAAAAACTAACATAAATTTATAGAAATTATTTATTACTACCTCCATTACCCTAATAGAAATACTACTTATAGAAATTTATAGGTGTAATTTTTAAGAAAAATATTGTGACTCATAATGAGTTGATAAAATAAGAATAAAGTAAGAATGAATTAGAATCATACAAAAGTTATCGAATATAATATGGAACAATAATAGGGAGATAGAGGGATATTAAATGTCGTGCGAGTTGAAAAAGAAAAAGTCAATCATGCGTGATAGAAAAAATGTAGTACCTTTTGTGTAATACCGAGTAGATGAAGTGAGAAACACTTTTTTTTGAACTTTTAACTTCAAAATAAGTTCTTAAGTGAAACTGTGAAAGCACTAATTTTAGTTTTTTAGCAAAAAATTGAAAATATCTTTTTATTCTTTTGTGTACCTCCTTTAGTATTATGCAAGTGTTTGGGTTGCTTCTACTTTAGATGACGAGTCGTTTAAGATATTTAAAAGAAAGTATTGATAGTAAGAATTGATGGTGTTTAAGGAAAATAATTTTAAAATGCAGTTGATATTATTAGAAAATAATGATATATTCTAAAAATAATGTGTGGGAAAGAATAAGAGTTCATTTTTTTATCGTTAAACCAACAATTATATTAAATCAAAAAAACGTTTGTTACTTGACTGACAATACAATCAGAGATAAACCGGAAAAAAACGATAAAAAATTTTCTGTCTGTCGTCCGCCCTTGAACCGGACTTACAATCCATCACCTCTGTAGAAGGTGATAAAATTTGTTAATCCTGTAATGGGCTTGCTAGGAAATAAGAACACGCCTAAAAGACTAAAACAACATGCAATTCGAAAGAAAACACAAACAAAATAAAACGGAATTAAAACAGAGTTTACTCATCTTCTCCCAAATACTAGACTTTCTTGCACTCCATGGTGGCGGCTCGGGAGGGGGACGAGCCCGTCGTTCATCCGCCTCAATAGCCATGCTTTTGTATTGATTGGCGATATCTTCCATTGATATCTCTTGCTGCTGAATTGAACTAAAGCTCCACCATAGTTTATCCACCTTTCCTTTGTGTACCATCGCCTATTGACCACAAACAACAACAGAGTTATGTACCCTATTTTCTTTGTGTACTCACGGACCTCCATTGCACACTTCAGTTGCTCGCACCAGCATATTCATGGAGGCAGATCTCTACCTACGCCCTTTCTACCAACATCAAGGCTTCTCCTTAAACAAAAAATAATTTCACTGTCGCGGAGAAAAATGACCTCCACAGCAACGGCAACAAGTGACCTCCGATCAATAGAGGCGGAAGTAATCTTCAGCGGCGCAGTTTTATTTTTCGCTGGCGTCCCTTCAGTCTTTACGATGGTTATGAGATCCAGCGGTGACAAGGGTTTCGAACCACCACGGTGGCCACAGTGAATGAGCGGAAAAAAACCACCAGGATTTCAACGTGGGCCACGCTTGCAGCAACAAATTGCAGTGGTTAGATGCTCTGGATATGGGAATGCGGCGGTGACTGCTTGGGAAGGGACTGTGGTTATACAAGGGCTTGTGATAGAGTTGGGGTTGGGGTGGGGCTGGATCGGGATAGGGGCTTGAGCTGGGCTGTGGATGGTGAGGATCGTGGGGCTGGGGGAGGCTTGCTGTCGGAGAGGGGTAGGGGCATGGGCGGTTGGTCACTAGAAGTCACCGGCGGGTCACCGACATTGATGGACAGTGGCCGGCGATATTGCCAGCAGTGGTGTCTAGCTGTGGTGGACGCCGACTGACGGTAATGGGCGTTAGTGGTGGTTAACGATGATTACTATCTAACTGGTTATGTGTAACTAGCAGGCGAGGGTAACTAGTCGGGCAATTAGCTATAAGGCTATAACTGGTGGCGGGTAATTGTAAGTGGTCAGGCGAGTATATGTAACTGGCGGCATGTAACTGTAAGTGGTCGGGGCGAGTATGTGTAACTGATCGGGCAGGTAATTGTGTAACACTTGAGATTTAATATAAACAGATTAATAGTACAACTCATACCAACAGAGGTGCATCTTCTTTTAAGGGAGCTCATCACCTAAGAACTCCAAAATTAAACGTGCTTGCACGGGAGTAGTCTTGGGATGGGTGACCCCCTGGAAAGTTTCTCAGGGCGCGCATGAGTGAGGACAAAGTGCGCGGTAAAGGCTCGTGGTGGTTAGTGAGGACAGTACTAGAGGTCTGGAGGTTGTGTGGGTAACTACCTCGGGTCCTGCGGGGCCAGGATGTTACAAATTGTAACTGGTGTGTCGAGTAACTGTAATTGTTGTCGGATTGAGTAACTGTAACTGGTTGATTCGGGTAACTGCAACTGGTCGGGTAGGTAACTGTAACTGGTTGGTCGAGTAACTGTAACTGGTGTCGCAATGGGTAATTGTATCTAGTTGATTCGGGTAACTGTAACTGGTCGGGCAGGTAACTGTAACTAGTCGGTTGGTAATTGTAACCGGTTTGATCGAATAATTGTAATTGGTATGGTCGGATAATTGTAATTGACAGTGGGTAATTGTAATTGGTGGGGTAGACAATTGTAATTAACTGTGGGTAAATGTAACTGATTGAGCGAGTAACTATAACTAGTCGGGCGTGTAATTGTAACTGGTTAGACGAAGCCCTAACTGCTCAGAAACCCTAACCTTCACGGCATAGGAATAACATTTAGATATTAATTAATTTTTAACAATTGAGAAATATAATCAAAACGCACTAGTGTTTTAAAAACTGTCGAATTCCTAATGCAAATTACACACCGAGCAGGTCTCGACTTACTCCAGTATTGCAGTGGAAGTTCTTGGGAGGTAAAAACCAAAAGCTCAGCATTCGTCAATGTTGTTTTCATTGCCAGCTCGTCTTGCATTAGTATCTCCACTAAATAATCAAAATTCCATTCGCATCTGTATCGAGACATTAAAAAAATAATTCACCATGAGATTTTTTTCACTATGAAAAGATTAAAAAGTAAAATTGAAAACTATATCCAAACTATTACTTTGGGTTAGCCGGGAAGAAATACAAGGCGATGTTTTGATCTGTTGGCCCTGAGGTACGGAAGCTGTTAGGCCAAATAGCAGCTTTTGGGAACATTTCCAGTTCAAGCATGGGTGGAAATGAAGTTGCTTTCCTGTAAACCTTCTCGCATGCTTTAACAGATAAATGAGCTATGATGCGTACTATTTAGTAGTGCATAAACACTACATTTTAGAATGATTTTACATAATGTTTACTTAGCTTTTGTACAATTACGGATTAATCTTTATCTTCTTAAATTAAAGTATAATTAGAAGATATTATGATATTTTGCTATGTAAGCAAAAACATGATGAAAAAAAAGGAAAGAGCTTGGGAGCATAAGGAAGGAGCATTGGAGACAAGAGGAAGCTTCATGGAGGGACAAAGATGTGTGAAAAATCGGATATGATTCGACCTGGAGATCATAAGAGATCAAATAAAGAAAGTGAACATGGGAAAATCAGATTATGTCTTAGACTCAACCACCTCACTTCTCCTATAAAAACACATCTTTCCTTCCTATTTTAGATACCAATTTAATCCCCTCTTTCATATACACTTTATTCTTGTAATTTAGGTAGTCTTTCCATCTTGGTTTTGTGACTTTGAAGCTTAATGAATTGTAAGTTATTTTCTTTAATATTCTTCCTTGAATATTAATTAATTCCTATTCATATTTCATTTTAGTATTTTGAGCATTACTTAAAGGATCAACTAGTTTTGTCTCATATATTAATTATTACTAGAATCGATCGACGAATACGCTTGTTAATCGTTCGATCTTTTCACGGTAGTAAACTTGGATTATTAATGCATGCGTCTCATGGTTAATAATCTAAGGGGAATTAATTATATTGATTAAACCAATAAACCGCTTGTGTTGAGGTTATCAATTTCAATTGTTTTCATCTTGAATTTATTGCTACTATCGAGTATATATACGGCGCGTGTTCTATATTAATTCGGTAGTAAGTTTTATTAATGAACGCGTCTCGTTATTAATAACTACCCTCGATGAACTGGATAACTCCTTGATTGAGTATTCGAGAGGAAGATAGTTAAAGATATAACCGGGATCGACGAACATTTCATTAAGTGGATAAAAGCAAAACCAAGACTAATTACCTTTGATATTTTATTTCACTCATTTAAGTATTTTATTTGCTTTCTCAATTATCAAAATATCCAATTCCCCCTTCCGTTTACTTTTATTTATTACGCTTACACATACGCGAAAAGCTTCTTTCCTTGTGGATACGAACTCTACTACGCTATATTACGGTATTAGCCATTAGTAGTGAATTCAATTTGAAGCACACTACGACAAAGTGCTCCTCAAGCTACAAGTCCGTCAAAGATCTCATAATCTTTGATGCATATTTTGAAACATTCCCTGTGATCAACATCGGCAAACAGCAAGAATGCTTAGATACTCGGTACTCGCAGCAATCAACATTTTCCCAAGAAAAAAAATGTT